CCCCCTCCTCTACATTGCTCCCATGTTCACAGCGGACAAAATCTCAATCCAGTAACCGTCAGGGTCCTTGATGAATGCGAGCCCCTTCATTTTGCCTGCAAATAGAAAAGGAAAAAAAAAAACATTTACAAACCGACAACAAAATCCTATCAGTGACAAAAACAAACAAAAGTGATGCATGTGGTCAGACCATTAGAATAGCTACAAAGAGAAAATAGTAAAATTAATAAATTATACTAAAATACTTTTCAAACTGTTTCCACACATCGATGATGAGACTTTTCCCTTCCAAGATCCTATGATACCTCGTCCTATCGACGGCGGCCATGAGATAGACAGAATTGTTTCCCATGAAGGAAGAGGGAGGAACAGACAGTACAAGGTTCACTTCCTCCATCATCACCCGTTGACCGAGTTCTTCTGGATCGACCGAAAAGAGCTGCTAAAGAATGCTCCACGTGTTGTTAACGCTTATGAACGACAGATCGCTGATGGACACACTGCTAAGTTTTCTGCAAAACTCACTCCTCACGGTCTTACTTAAATCTCTGTCTGATCTATGCCTACGACGCATTTTGTGCCGACTCTGAATGAGTTACTCACAAGGGACCTCACTCTTGAGAGGGGGGTAGTGTAATGACCCGCCAAAACACAGAGTGAGAACACTGCTGATTTCTGGGATTTGCCGCTGGAATGAATGCTTGCTGAGATTCCTGCATTCTGCTGTGGTTTCCGCGTCTGTGTGTGTGCGTGCGTGCCTGTCTGAGTGCTTGTCGGCTGAGCGTGTGTGTGACCCGCAAGGGTACTTGTTGGTTGAAAGGCCCCGCAGGGCCGGTACTTACCTGTGGCTGTGAGGGTTGCAGCGGGGAAAACACTCAAGTAGCAGGGGTAGGCCCGCGACACTTAGAGCAGCGGGGAAAAACACTCGAGTAGCAGGTAGGCTGGTACCACTCAAGTAGTGGTAGAAGTGTCGGGTACTGGAGGCCAAGCAGAAGAAGACAAAAAGTTGGTATTTTTAGAGGCCGAGTAGCGGTAGGCTAGAGGTAGGCCGGTACCAGTCCAAGTAGCTTGAGTCCAGGGCCTGTCCGGACGATGGCAGAGCCTGCAATGATGTTTCCCTCCGAAAGGGAGGAGGTACCGGTTGCTGGGAGGCAGCTCGGCCTAGGAAGTCACTGCCCAGGAGGCCAGTAGGCCGCTCTATCTTCCAGAGGAGCAAGCAGCTCCTCCTCATTTGCGGTATGCAAGGATTGGCGACATGCTGCTAAGCCAAGTGCTGGACTTGTGCATCGCTGCCTGGAGGAGAAGGGCAGCTGGGCGCTCAGCCTGGATATGGTGAGCAGCCCAGTTTGAGGAGGAGGAAGAAGGGGGCGAAGGAGGAGATACTGTAACGTGCAGACCAGAACAAGAACCGACCTTTCAATACAAAGTATAAGATAGCACAACGGAAGACTTAGATACCAGTGATCCAAACAATCAATGTTGAAATGCAGCCCTGAACATACATCATCATCATCATCGTTACATGGTGTGAAATGGGCCTGGCGCTTCACACAGGAAGACTGCGCCAGCCCATACCATACACAGACGAAGAGGAAGGGGATAAACGAAGAGGAGGGGGAAGATGGGAATGTCGTCAACACCAAGTCTTCGGCATAAGCCCAAATAGTCCCTCGTCGACATGTCTGAATCCCAAATGTCAAGTCCGGATCCAATGTCGTCAAGTCTCAAGTCACAACTCTGTCTCTCTCTGTCGTAGTCTGAGAAGTCAGGTGGCGACAGGGTGAGAAGAGAAGGTGGACTTAGAAGAGGAAGAAGAAGAACTCTCTCTCTCT